AGCTCCATCGACTGAATTAAAGCAGAGACAATTAACCACTCAAAAAGCACCCCCTGGGCGGGAGGACTGGCGCCCCAGCTGAGAGGGTGGTTCCGGTCCAAACAAGGGCTGGGTTTTTCCTGCGCAACGCTCAGCAGCTGGGGCTCCTGTTCCGCCCCCGCCCCCACTCCTGCTTGATGCCAGAGAGATTGCAGAAGGGGGTGGGGCTGATCAGGCCACTCAAAGAGCTGTAGGGGCCAATAAATGTATGGAAGAGTTCAATCTCTTGGCACCGAAAGGAATACAGAGTAATGTAACATTTTAAAGCCTGTCAACCAGTAAAATTGTATAACAATAGGCACTGATAAAAATGAGGTCAAGTTCTAGTCTCTGATGGTATAAAGCCTTAGTGACAAAAGAAGGGAGGCTAATGGCGCCAACTGCTCACTTCTTTCTGCCATCCCTGTCCCAAGACAGTGTTTCTTCTCATTGGGGATGGATGAGGTAGATACTGGGTTTGCAGAGGGTCGTCACTGGGATGACTGAGTCGAAAAGCCGGCAGAAGCGCCACAGCAGCGCAGTCCCCCTGCAGTGCCAGCTGGGGCCCTGACTTCAGGAGGAGGACCGCCCCCTCCTCCCCCCTCCCCGACCCCGCGGGATTGTATGAACGACATTTTTCCTTCCCCACCAGTAAGAGGAGTTGTGGGCATAATTCCTATAGCTCAGCCACTTAACTTTTTTACTTAAGGCAACAATGTGTATCTATACAAATCAAAGCATTTCTCTAACCAGGTGCCATTAACCAAGACAGAGCTCTAACTATGCAACATTTTATACCAAAACATACTCTCTGAACCTAAACATAGTCATTATTTGCTCTCCTTTTCAAAGACTGGCCCTTACAAAGGGTCTCTCTCTTTTATACCTTATAAAAAAGTCCACATATACAGGCTAACCTCTGCATTTCCCTTCTTTCACCCCAAACCCCAGAGAGCAATCATTACAGACAGAACTTTTAGAAGTATCCTAGGTGTCTGAAGTGTTTGTTACTCTTCATTTCAGAGCCTTAAACACAGAAGGTGAATGAGGTTCTGTTGACTTTGTTTAGATGAGAATAGCTGGGGTGTCTAGTAGGACCCACAGACCTCCTCCAGAGTTTAACAAGATGGGAACTAATTGTAACTAAAGATGAAAGACTAATTGATGCCCGCTTGCTATAGGACAAGACCTGCCGTTAAATTTCGAAGCCAGCACTGTCACTGGAAGCTGCACCGAGCTTTAAGAACCCGCCTGCAGACCTCACCCCCTCCTCCTCCTGATCAGCGTCGAGCGTCCGGTTTGCCTGTGTGGTCCGTGGGATGAGAGCACAGGAGGTCACCAGCCTCTGTGACCTGTATGTGGGCAGGCCATTTTCCTATGAAATTCATAAAAAGCATTAATAAAGACCTTTTTGGGGCTGAGCAATTCCAACTATTTTCAATTGCTTTTTAAAAATGTCTAAGTCCCCAATTAGCTCTTTATTCTATTTCCCTACCTCTTTAGGTGGCATTACTTCTCGGTTGAACCGTTGCCCTCGTCTCCCCATGGGCTTCCCTGCCCCCAGTCATCCCGGGCCCTCTGCCAGGGTGATGTTCACACACAGGAGGCTCCCCAAATCCTAGGGTGTAAGAAAAGGACTTCCTGCAAATCATCCTCCATCCTTAAAGGTGCAAAACAAAGGGAGGAGAAGGAAGCCCAGCACTGTAGGTTGCACGACAGCACAGTACAGAGAGGAGAGCTTTTTAAGAGCAATCTGGGCTCCACGTCCAACTCTCCTGGCCACGTGACTTCATGCAACATAATTTCTCAAATGCGAGAGCCATTTACCTAATGATTAAATATGATGGTGAAGAGTTTAGCAGCCATTATAAAAGTCAAATGGTGTCTGGTATACAGCATGTCCTCACTGAAGGTTCCTTGCCCTACTCCTGTAATTAGCAAGATACGGCACACCTGATGGGCGAATTCCACCTATCCAAAGAGGCCGTGGTCAATTTGGGCCTGATGGGGCCCATGTGGGCACCTGGGGGCACGCGCTGGCTGATGAGGCAAAGGAGTAGGAGCAATTTCTAGGCATTGGTGACACTGAGTCTCCTGGGAGGGCAGCATTATGATCTAGGGGACTATAGATTACAATCCTGGACTGGAAGGATCAGGGACCTTCTTAACTCAAGAGAGCTCCATGTTGTCCCTTTTCCTCCTCTTGGTGTTTATTTCTTTAAAACATTTATTCTCTGTATGTTGCATCACCACCAACTTGTTTGTTGACATTCCTGGCTTCTTCCTTTGGTTGGATCCCCCGTGACTTTTCCACTGTCTTGCAGAGGATGTGTACATTGGTTTCCTCGTGTGTTTATACATTTAACACATTTCGAATTTGTCCTGGGGTTCAAGGACTGCAGGCACATGAGCAAAATAAATTGTTCGGGGAGAAGTGCAGCTGTGGTTTTTCTCGGAGGACATGGCCCATGGAGGGGACAGAAGCACATCACCAAGTCAAGTCACCAGTCACCACAGGGCACCACCCAGCACCTACTGAAGCCGGGTGTGCTTGCCTGGAGGGAGTTTCCTTCTCTCCACACCGGTGTCATGGAGACACAGCCCTGCCCTGGTGAAAAATCACTTAATGAACACGCTTACTCCTTTTCCAACTTTTCCTTTCCTCCCGGGTCAGGTACAGTTCTTAGCTTAAATTGAAGAGCAATTTGGATTCATTGTGTGTATTTTTATGGTTACCAATGACACTAGTTTCCCCTCACTGTGGGGATAAAACAGCATCACTTAAAATTACTTCTTCTAGTAAAGAAGGTAAATTTGAAAAAAAGCACCACGTTAAGACTCCTGGGAGCGGAGGAGCCTCTGAGAGTCGCGGAGGCCTGCGCGGGCCCGAGGAGCTGTGGGACCGCCGGGGGGCTTGGCCAGATTTTATGGGGAAGAAGGACCTGTGGGCCAAAGCGACAGAACACGTGGAATCCCTCGGAGAGGGGCCCTCCTGCTCGGCCTGGAGTCCTCCTAGTTATGGGGCCCACACATTCCCAACACCTGTATGCGGTACACCCACCGCTTGCATTCAAGCGCCGCTTAAGAACCAGGAAAATCCAGGGGCCTGACTGTGAAGCCCCAAGTAACATTTTCATACCATACAGCTGCCTCCCTCACGGAATCAGAGTATCCTCTGATCAAAGGCTTTTAAAAATAGTTTTTACAGAAAGAACTCACTAGTCTTGTGGGTGTAAAAAATAAAAAGCAAAAATTAAGGTAAATAAATTCCTTTGCGGATCTTTAGGCTGGGTTTCCTCTGACTCAGGAGCCCCTCCCACCTCCCCTCCGCCCCCACCAGGGCGTCCTGTCCGCTGGGCTCCCTGGTGGCTGAGCCTCCTGGGAGCAGGGTCTGTCCTGTGCCCCTTCCCCCGCTCGCCGCCATGGCTGCCCCACCCTTGCCTCCACTGCACAGTGCGATTCTGGGTGCAAAACGTTGGCAGGGAGGGCAAGTCCCAGCTTTGGTTTATTTAACGTAAATAAAAACACAGTAAGTCCTGTTTACCTGAGGGGAGGAGCACGCGTGAGAGAGAGAGAGAGAGAGAGAGAGAGAGAGAGTGTGTGTGTGTGTGTGTGTGTGTGTGTGTGTGTGTCTGCTCCGCCCTCCTCTGCGAGACTCCGGTGCGGACAAGAGGCAGGTGCCGACTTAGTGGCTTCATTACTTGCAAGCTGGCCCCTCAGTGCCCAGGCCCCCTCTTCAGGCCCGTGGAGAAGGGGAGGAGGAGGGGCGGGAGAGAAGGTGCGAATGTGTGCGTGAGAGTGTATGTGAAATCATGATCCGATGGAGTAAAAACCCTGGGGACACCTACACCTCATTAATGGGATTAAAATGAAGATTTCCAGGAGAGGTGACCTTCTATTTATCTACCATCTTTGTGTCCAGGTTGAGGACTCAGTTGGGCAGAGTGGGATTTAAAAACCAGTCTGGGAAGTGGGCTACTTCATTATTTTCTTAAAGGGGTTTTAAAGGTTTATGGTGGCTGTATCTGGGTGGGTGGCTTTTGAATTGTTTAATTTTCTTTTATATTTGTCTGTATTTTAAAAAATTATTACAGAGATATTATCTCTATTGTTAGAAGAATGACAAGGGTTATTATATAAAATACCTTGAGCTCAAAGATTGATGACTTGGGCGAATCAGTTTGAGATGAAATCGCCTCTCCTGATGGGCGCAAAGCTCTGAGGCCAGGCCCAGGGCAGCCGAGTCACCACCTCCTGCCCTGCTTTGTGCCAGCCGGTCGCTGGCTCCTACGGCGGCAACGGAGCAAAGGTGAAAGGGAGGGGGCAGGCGCCTCAACACCAGCTGAACACACCTCCTCGCAGCCACTGGAAAGGGGGATCACCAGGTGAGCAGGCTGGTCTTTCACTGGCCTCTTTACAGAAAGAACTCACTAGTCTCATGTGTGTAAAAAATAAGAAGCAAAACTTAAAGTAAATAAATTCCTTTGTAGGTCTTTAGGCTGGGTTTCCTCTGACCCAGGAGCCCTGTCCACCTCCCCTCTGTCGACCCTAGGGTGGCCTGTCTCCCTGCCTGCACAAGCCATGGCTATTACTCTTGGGCAAAAAATAGCTTTTAAAGTTTAAGAGATGACTGGGAAAGATTAAAAAAATGGACCAATACATTTTAAGCATTGTGATAAAGACTACATAACTTAAAATTTATCATTTTAACCATTCTCAAGTGTACGCTTCAGAGGGACTAAGTGCATTCGTGGTGCTGTGCAACCGTCGCCAGTCTCGCTCCAGAAACCCTTCATCCCCCAGGTGGGAGCCCCACGTGCACAGCTGGCATATTCTAAAAGGTAAATTTATTTTTTGTTCTCCATAGGTGGAATAATCATGAAGTAACAAAAAACATCAAATAAACAAATCCCTTCTTTAAAGGTAAACAAATTCAGAAAGAAATAAGATTAATACTTTTAATGATAATCTACGAATCTGTTCACATTCTGGTACAGAGGAAGAAAATCTAATGAGATACATCCTATTATGGGTAAAATAAAATCTCAGGGACAAGTTTTACAGAAAATTAGTCTTTAGAATTCAAGTCCATCGAGTGCCGAGTGTCCACACTGTACTCCACAATGAGGGACAACTGCTGGGAGTACGGCAGGGAGGGCAAAGACGTGTCATCCAGTGATGGCCTCCACTCTGTAGTATTAATGGGTTAGAAGGATCCAGAAGGAACATCTGTGCCCAGTTAGTTCATAAATCTGCCACAGGCTTAGGAGTGAGAGGTAATAGTGTTTGGCCAGCTGTTTGCCAGCCCAGGAGTGGGGCAGAGGCTGGTAACGTGTCCTTAGTTCTAGCACCATTCCCTTCGTCGTCATATTTTAATCCAATCCAAGTTACTAGTGGCCAAAAGATACAGCTACTGAATTGAAGGATGGCTATACCAGGACCTATGCCATATTATTTGGTGGTTTAATTTCTATTGTCCCATCGAGAATAGATAGAACGGAGGATTATTGACAAAAGAAGAGTCCCTTTGGTAGGCATATTCTGCCCCGCCCCAGAGGACACCACGACTTCACTGTGGCATGTCCTACGACTGCCCAGACATGAGGCTGTGCTCCTGACCCAGGACGGCAGCATGAGAACACAAAAGCAATGGTTGGGGGATATTTATATTACCCCTGTATTTAGCTCACAGTGTGAGACTTCCTCATTTGCTCATTTGTCTATTCATTCATTCATTCATTTTTTAAAAAGGTGTACTGAGTGTCGTCTATGTGCCAGGCACTGAACCAAGCTTTGGTGATAAGGAGTGAATGAAACAATGGGGCGAATGCAAACCAGAGTACAGTTTTTGCACACATTTCTCTGATTCTGATACTCTTTGGAGCCAATGTAGACCGATCCACACTGGTAGGACATTTGTGGGACTGAGAAAGGGCTGGCTGGGTCACGCTGTGCATCCTTTTTCCCCCACCGAAGCACCTCAGTAAAAGCAGTAACACTGAGAGAAGAGGAACATGGATGCTCCTTCCTGGCTTTACCAAGGCCTGCAATCCCAGATGCTGGCTGTTTCCTTTTCAAATTGCCCACTTCCATCAACTCAGAACAACAGTACCCCTTTCCTGGGGTTTTTCCTCACTGCTGGAGAACAGCAGTGCAGCTCTTACTATGTTATGAGACACAGCCACGATCATGACAATAAACCCTGTGGAACTAGAAAGATCCTCACCAAACAGATGACACAGACGCAAGCCTAGCTGGCCCAGGCCTCTCCGTGTGTACCATGAGCAGGCTCACTGAGCCAGGCTGCCACCGTCTCTGGGCGAAGCTCTCACTTGGGTGTCAGGGACAAAAGGAAGGCAGGGTTCAGTGTTCCAAAAACCAGTGGTGCTCAGAGTGGAGAAGCAAAGCAGCTTCTCAGGCACAGGACGCCAGAATCAAAAGGGAAAGAAAAAAACACCACAGGGGAGCTGGGGGTAGCAGGAAGTCTAGACAAAATGAGCAATGGCTGGGGGGAAAACTTGGGGATAAAAACACAGTTCTTTACTGTAAAAAGCAGAACCAAAGAGTAGGCATATTGCCATCCTGGCCTTAACAGTGAAATGGGCCTCCTGCTCCATGACGGGATGAGTGATGAGGTGGGTGAGCAAGGGGTGACCAAGGCGGCTATTCACATGGAGCGCCTGGACACGATCTCTCCGACGGGGAGCCCCCTGACCAACAGGACCATTAACAATCGTCTGCTCCCTTCATTTGTTACAAGAAATGGGAGTCACTCCAATAAAAGTTGGCTATTGGCAGAGGGGAATCTGACATCTGACTTGCGAGGCAAAAGGAGCCAGCTGCTCCAGCCTCCGGGACTCCATGACTTCCTATTTCAAATCAAGTTCCCAGCTGTCCCACAGCTGCAGAAAAAAGGGGTGAACCCAATCACCCTCTCCTCTAGACACACCCCCCAGCCAATGGCAGGAGTGCTCCAGACTTCATCAGCTTCTTAAATGCACTAGGGGTTGAAATGAGACATGCCATTATGGTTTAGGAGCAAGGGAAGGGCCAGGTGAACCCGGGTTGGGAGAACGAGTGAGACAAGGGTCACATGAGTAAGTGTCTGAAGTCCAACTTGCCACAGAAAGGTTTTCTAGACCCCACCCGAGGCTGCCGCAAATCCTACAGCCAAGGCCCCCAAGCCCCAGTGCCCTTGGGATCGCAGCGGGGGTCCTGGTCCGGGAAGAACACAGGCACTGAGTGTTTGTGGTAGAACTGGAGCCGGGAAAGAAGCTGCTTGACAATATGGGGATGTTCTCTTGACAGGTCATGTCTTTCTTCTGGGTCCTGATCAATATCAAAGAGCCAGAGGGTCTTGGTCGGTGGGTCCGAGGAGGGTATCTCTGAAACATTGTATTGAGACGGTGGAGGGAACCAGTGACCGCAGCCTGGCAAAGAAACACAACAGTTTATTGGGGAGAGACGTGGTAGACAAGTTCTAATTTCAAGGAGAAAGCCCAGGGGACAAAGCTGAGCTGGGTTGTGGACACCGACCCATGAAAAAGATGAGGCCCTTGATACTGTGTCTAGATCTAAGACTCTGACATCTGGGGCTTTAGTGAGACGGGTCTCACTGCTTCCCAACCAGGGGTACCCAGGAATGTGAATGCAGGTATGGGGGGCGATTTTTCACCTGTGACATGACTTGGGGGGTGTTACTGGCATTCGGTGGTCAGGGCCAGGGATGCTAAAATGTCTTGTAACACGTGGTGCAGTCCCAAACAATGAAGAATTGTCTTGCCACAATTGCCAAGACCGTCCTCATTAACAACACCCCTTAATTGCATCACAGCCTTAACTAGCACACCACATGTGAAAACTATTTAACAGATGTCCCTTTTAGAGAACAGGCTCGGGGGAAGTAGCCCCCTCGCCCAGCCACACCCCTGGCTGAGGATGTGTAGAGCGTTCAGAAATTCCCTTTGCGTGCTTGGGAGCCCCACAAGTCGGGAATCCTTAGGCCTCCATGAAGCCTAAGACTGGTATTTCTTCCTTTTACTCCTCCTACAGCTAATTCTTAATTTTGCTGGGTGGGGCTTAGGATTTGTAGATCATGTCACTCCTCCCTCTTCCTTAATCAGCTGTTTCATTCAGCAGCCCCAGGGTTATCTTTTGCAAAAGGCAGTTGTTAAATTTTGGGAAGTGCTGAGCATTCTACCTGGGTAGCCCGTGAGAAGTTTCCAGTTTTTGTATCTAATTGCGGCATGGACAGATGTGTTGAAGGCTGAATATTCTGGAAGAGAAAAGTCATCCTTTGCTGGAGCTGTGCTGTTCCCAGGACCTGGGAAGAAACAGTTTAGGAGAATTAGATCACTGTTCTTGGAATGTGACATTATAAATCAACATTTTATGTCCTCCTTGCAGAACAGTAGCTTTTATTCAACATTGGAGTGTAAATGTGTATCCTGCACAGAAATGAATCTTCTATTAAGTATAAACAGAGCCATAGTTACATTAAACGTCAGTCATAAACCACCACAAACATAAAGGAAATCCCGAAGAGATTAGAATACTAATTCATCCTTAAAATCACTATGTTCTGCCAATGCACAGCTGGCCATCTGTAGAACAGTGTTCTGTTATAGCATGGTGAGTTGTTTTTGTGTGTTTTGCTTTTGCTGTTAAATGAATGAAATACATTTTCTGTGTATACTTCTACCTATATAGATAATATAATGCGCTATAAAATGCACATTTTAATGGAGTCTAGCTCAAGCTAGGAGAGGTCAAGCATGCCGTGATAAGTAGTGCATAGATTCATTTTTTTAAACCACAGGTATAAAATCTAAGAGTAATTGAGTGGTGCTCAGTTAACCATTAAGACAGGATAATTATGGGTGTAAAAATAAATGTGGTATACAAATTATTGGCTCATATTGTGGGTTACATTCATTTATCATCTTGAGATCTTATACTAATTGATCAATCAGGTTTTTTGAGGAGAGCAATTAATACCTGTCCCCTGTTCCCCTTTTGAGTTTGGAACCAATTGAAAGGTAGAGGACAAAGGAAGATGCAAATACTGATTTTGTTACTGATACACTTGTTTGGAGAGAACATAGTTTCAGATCTGTGACAGAGAGGTCTTGCTTATAACTGACCTTGACTTAGAAAGACTAAGACACCCATCACTGATCTTGCTGGATGCACACCAGGCCCCTTCAGAATGCACAGCTCAGGGCAGACCAGAGTGCTTCCATACAGCCTGGGGACACGCTGGTTCCAAAATTCGGCAGGCAAAAGGGTCTGAACTGAGCAAGCTTGGTTCCTCCTTTTGGATCTCTCCCTCCTTCACCTGCTTGTGGTGAGGAGGGTAAGGTCCAGAGAGATCTGAGTTCTAATACAGTTGAAAACACTGGAGGGCAAGGTATGGATGTCCCCCACCTCACTCCTACCTGCCCAACTCTATAATACTTAGTCTGTTTTAAGTCCACTCAAACATGGTCGCAGCAATCATGTTGGGGGCACTTCCAAAGTCAGCCAGACTACCCACCCAATGACTAAAAGCCACAGTTTGTGATGTGTCTGTCAAAGCGCACATTTCACCACAGTGGTTGGTCAATGGATCGACCGATCCGACCTGGAGGACTTTGAGAGCGCCTCCTCCCTGCCGGAGCAGGGCTTCTGCGCGGCTCAGGATTCCATGCAGGAAGCACTGTCAGTGCTGGAAAAAGCAGGGTCCCATTCTTTTGTCAAGTCTTGTGGAAATGACCCTGAGGACATACTGGAGACTGAGCCAATTACTATTGGCGGTTTCAGACCTCCAGTCTTAACAATCACATACCAACAAGTCATTAGCACCAAAGAGGAAATCTTTTTGAGTTGTTTCTCTGTTTGCTTCTGGCTACTTTGGCTCCAAGACAAAGGATGCTTCTAGTGACCGAGGTGCCTGAGGATGTCTGTCATAGGAAGTATGTTCTTAACGTTCAGACTGTGGTGGAATTGTGGGCCTTCATGACACGACTGTGAGAAGGCCCTTGTTCAGACACCAAAGAATGGGAACTAAGACAAGTCTGCTTTGTGAACAAAGACAAAGAAAAAAAGAGGAAGTTTAGCTAGCTCACTATACTTATATTTATATACATTTTTTCTTAAAGCAAACAGGAACATAAAATACCCAAACAATAAATAAGACTAACTGATGAAAGATGGTGTTATCTCAATAATATTTTTCATTTTCAGAAATTAAAGGGAAAATTACAAGGAAAACTACAATTGACACTCTGTGAGCTGGCATATGGAATAAACAGCTGTTAACATTTTGTCATATTTGCTTTTTTTTTTTAAATTAAAGAAACAGGACAATGAAGATGAAGTGACAGGTTTCTTTGTCCCCATTCTCAGTCCCTTCATCCACCCCCCAGAGGCTATTGCTTCATGATTTTAGTGTCTAGTGTCTCCTTCAGAGACTTAAAAAAATATGTTAACATGAGTGGGGGACCCAAAAAACCCAGGAATTTATTTATAAAATATTGTGTATTTATTCTTACATGTTTAAACTTCAGTCACATTCAAAGTACTCTCCATATGATGTAATACACCTATCGAAACATTTTTTCCACTGCTTAAAACACTGTTTGAATTCCTTGATTTTGATGCCTTTTAGCGCTTCTGCCCTTTTTTGTTTCCTTTCTTGCACATTTGCAAAACACTTCCCTTTGAGGACTTTTTTTTTTTTATCCAGGGAAACAAAAAACATTGCTTGGGGTGAGACTGGGTGAATAGGGAGGGTGAGGCATGGGGCTCATGCCTGTTTTTTAGTCAAAAACTGCTCAACACACAGTGCAGTGTGGGCAGGTAAGCCTGTAAATACCCATCATGAAATTGGCAAATGCATGGTAAGAGGCTTCAAAAAAAAAATTCACTGAAGCCCAATGCAGCCTCTCACAACACCAGTTAGTACAGGTGGGTTCCTAGAACACTTACCTAGTGGGGAAGCCTGTACTACAAGGGGCCCACCCTCCAAAAGATAACTCTGGTGTTTTTTGGGACCCCCCCATTTTGTGTATACATGGTCTCTCCAGAAGATATCCTGCCATTTATTATGAAAAATAGAGATATTTATTGAAGAGACAAGAAATGCTGTACACAGGACAATGATATCTCATATCCCCATCAAAGTAGGCACCTCGGGACCTCACACAGTTCTCACAATTGCCATCAGTTGCCCTGTGATACTTTCCTGACTCTCACTGATGGATCTGAAATCTCTTCCCTTTCAAAGGTGATTTTGGTTTTGGGAAAAGCCAGAAGTCACAGGGTGCCAAATCTGGACTGTAGCGGGGACGAGTCACCAGGGTGATTTGATGTTTCACCAAAACACTCTGCATGAGACATGATGCATGAGCGGGCCCGTTATCATGATGAAGCTGTGCATCACCAGCTGCCCACAGCTTCGGGCTTCTGAATCACCCGAATAGTTTCTGTGGAGGACTGTTCAAGCTTAATGCAAAATTTGATGTAGAGTCATTGCTCTACTCGCTCAGTCATTTTGAATGTGACAGTCACTCAATGGCGTTGACTGCCCCCACTGACTAGCACAGTGAAGTTGTCATTGGTCACGTGTGTGCATTCCAGTCCACTCTCCTTGGCTTCCAGGTTATATCCATGTGCAAACCGTTCTCGTTATAACAATGGTTGAACTTTATACGGAGACCTTGTATGTGTTAGGGAATAATGTACAGTACTGTTTTATACTTTTTAAATGTATGTGTATTATGGTTTACATATTCTACATTTGTTTTTCATTCATGATAGTACTTTTAGAGCTCTGTGATTCTAAGAGTGTATATATGTAACTGTTAGATATTTCACCATATAAAAAACATATCCTTTTGATGGGTTCTTAGGTTGCTCTAATTTTACTTTTATTTTTTCCTATTATAAGCTATCCTGCAATAAACATGTTGTCTACAACTCCTTGTGCACACGTACAAGGGCCCCTCTGGGTATGCGTCCAGCATAGGACTGCCCAGTTGCAAGGCGCACGCACTTCCAATTTCACAGCGTCACCTGATCGGCCCTCTAACCAGGCCTCTCCCTGTTTCTCCACATCCTCTACCTGATACTTTCAGATTTAAAATTTTCTGCCTAGCTAAAAATTTTAGAATCTAGAGCTTTAAAAAAAAAATCATTTCATCAGCAATAGTATCTTTCTTTTTCTGTGTCAATCCAAAGGGTACTTTAAAAACATTTTTAAATAACACTCAGAGAGAAGTGGGCACAAATCACACTTCATGAAGAGTGGATTCTCCCTCACGAACACCAGCCCACACTACAAGGACCTCAGAAACTCATGCCAGCAGCTCCCAGTTACTGCCCTCCTTTCCCCCAGGTAACTGCTATCCTAACTTCAGTTGGTGTTTTCATTATTAAGTCAACCATGTATGAGACAGACGATCGAGGTGAGAGATAAGAGGCAGAGATTTCTTAGAATGTTAACAAACTTTTAGAATTTCTCTGATAGAGTTGGGCTAGATACATATTTAAGAAATATTTATTGATTAACAACTGTGTGGTAAGAAAGTTTTGTGTTCTGAAATTCTGTGACATGAAGTATGGCATTTTGCCATGTATAATGTGCACTTCTTTGCCCAAATTTTTGAGGGAAAAATAAGGATGTGCATTATACATGGGTAATACTAATTTTGTATCTATATAAATGTTTTTTAATTCTTTTATTATGTTTCTGCATTACAAGTATAACTCTAGAAACCAATAATGATATCCTTATGCAAAATAATGCCTGGAATACAATAATCAGTTGTTTCTAAATGCAAATAAATAAAAACTGAATTAAAAAATTAAAAGGAAAGATTTTTTTCCCTGAAAGTCTGGGCCAAAAATGTTCATGCCCATTACACACAGCAAAATACAGTAATAAGCAAAGAGACATCTAAGAGAAGTTTTGAATGTAAAAATCTAAGGTATTTAGGGACTAAAAGTTATAAATAATAAAATTTCAAGGTTTCAAGTTGTGGTGATTGGGAGAACAGGGTTGCTGTTGGCAGAATAGAAATGTTGGGGCAGAAAATAGTGGTGCTAATATGATTCTGAAATTAGGCATATTGACTTTAAAGAATTAATATGAGCTCAAGGTGGAAATACCTACTATATATTGGAGCTGAAACACTGGCCCTGTGGAGAGACTGAAGCACAGTCTGATTCAAGCACCATCTACATGAACCCTGAAAATGGATTATTTGCCTGGAGAGTGAAGCAAGAAGCAATCAGTAGCCCAGAGACAGAGCGCCAAATGCCAAGAAAAAAACTGTTAGCAAA